TGCATCAGCGCTTGCTGCCACTCGCGCCTCCGAGCGATTCCCCCCATCTGAGCCGATGCGTGCGCGGGGTCGCCCGAGGTCGCGGGCGGAGTTTGAGCTTGGTCGCTCAGGGTCCCCAGAAGCGGGTGGAAGGCTGGGCGATGGCCCCGCCCCTGCTGCAAGGAAAGGGACTGGTGCAGGCACTGAAGCATGAGGCTGAAGTCCGTCGGATTGGCCGCAAGGGGCGGCTCTAACCCGTCGGCGCCGCCCGCCTCGGCAAAGCCGTCGACCGCAGCGGGATAGGCTAGCCCAGGCGGCGGCGGGGGGCCCATCGGTCCGAAAGCGGACGAAGGGGCCCGAGGGACAGCAGAAGAGCGCGCCTTCTCCCACGCCGAGACCAGCGCGGAGGTGGGTCCCTTGGGGCGCGCGGAGACCCGATGAGGGGCCACGGGTGCGTGGGACAAGACGGCCTCGATCCCCGCAGGATCCAGCCCGAGGCGCGCCGCCTCGTCGCTGAAAAGCTGAGGCACCTCGGGCCGAGCGCTCTGGGCAGCCGGAGCGGGGCCCAGCGGTTCGGGTCCGCCGACCATCGTGGAGGCCGCGTGGGCTGCAAGCAAGGCGCGCATTTCGGCAGCTACCTCGGCGCGGGTCATGGGAGCCCCGTCGTCCAGAGACGCCGCAGGAGCGCCAGGAGCAATCGGAGCAGGACCCGCGACCCGTGGCGGCGCGGCGGCGCCAGCGCGCTTGGCGGGCGGGCCGCGCGGCGCTCCAGCGACCGCGGGGGCTCGCGCACTTGGGGCCGCGCGGTCGGCTTCCCCGTCGGCCGCGAACCCCTCGGGCTCCTCCATCTCGTCGGCAGAGTGGTAGGGGGTAGCCCGATCGGCCCCTGGGAGAGGCTCTTCCCCTGCGGTAGGCGGGGCGCCGTGCAAACGAGCGTAGCCCTCGCGAAGCACCCGAACCCCCGAAGGATGCGGCCAATAGACGCGGCTGCGCACCTCGGCGAAGGGAACGATGCCTGCGTCGTCGCCGACCTCTAGAGGGCACAGCGACTCGAGCTCGAGCTCGGAAACCTCGATATCTATAACGAGGACGGATGCGGTAGTGGCGAGCGGCCGTGAAGCGGCCCCCTGGAGCTGGACGTCCACTAGCTGGAAGGGGCCTATCATCCCAGCAAAGCCATCCGCCTCGGCAGCCTCGAGCTCCGCTGTAGAGCGAAAGGCACCAGGCAGGGCCAGCAGGATGCCCCCTTCTCGAGAGGCGAGGGGGATAGCCGCCCAGCTGGTGTCGCCGTCGTCTAGGCGCCATCGTGCGTAGTCGCGCGCCGTGGGCGCAGCGAAAGGGTAGAGCTCGGGCCAAAGGGGCCCTCCGCCAACTGGTGGCAGCTCCGCCATCAGTGGGCGCCGCCGTGGACGCCGCCGCCCGCACGCTGGGCGTCTGCCCGCTCGAGCGCTTGAGGTCGAGGCGGAGCCCCGTAGGCCAGCGCTCGCGCCGCACGGCGGTCCTGCTCAGGTGAAGCAGAAACCGCGCCGCGCGGCCAGGCGAAGGGCCAGAGCCTCCGCCACACGTACGGGCCCAGCAGCCCGAGGCAGCAGCCCGCGCAGGCGCTGCAGGCGGCCGTCACCCAGAGGAGGGCGGCGACCGTGCTGAGCAGCCAGGGAGAGACCCCGCCGCTCAGGTCCACCGCCAGCCCGAGGCAGACGGTGGGGCAGGTGGAACCCGCCGAAGGGAGAGGGCAGGAGGCCCCCTCGCCCTCGGACGAGTCCGCCTGCAGGATGGACCAGGCAGGAGCTGGAGGCCCCTGGTCCTGAAGCACAGAGAGGGGGGCAGCCACGAGCCGCTCGTAGAGCGCGGCCCGCAGCCCCCTGAACAAAATCTCCCCAGCGCCCTGGAGAGCCGCTTGTGCGACCGCCTGCATAAGGCGCCCGCACGCGCGGCCGACGGGGGGCACTTGGGCAGAGAAGCTGCGGAGACAGCAGGAGCTTGCTCACAGAGAATAGAAGAGGCATGCTGATGATGATACTGATGATGATGATGATGATGATGATGATGATGATGATGATGATGACGATGAAGATGACGATGGTGATGGTGGTGATGATGGTGATGACGCTGATGATGCCGATGCTGATAGTGATACTTATGATGACGATGATGATGCTGATGCTGATGATGCTGATGCTGATGATGATGACGATGATGATGACGATGGTGATGGTGGTGATGATGGTGATGACGCTGATGATGCCGATGCTGATAGTGATACTTATGATGACGATGATGATGCTGATGTTGATGATGCTGATGCTGCTGATGATGATGATGATGATGGTGATGGTGGTGGTGGTAATTATGGTGAGGGTGGTGATGATGATTGTGGTGGTGGTGATGATGTTAGCGATGATGGTGATGGTGATGCGCATGATGATGCATATGCTGATGTTGATGCTGATGTTGATGCTGATGCTGATGATGAAAATGATGATGAAGAAGAACATGATGATGATGACGATGACGACGACGAATATGATGAGGGGGGACAGGAGGAGGAAAAGGAGAAGGAAGACGATAAGGAGAAGTTCCAAAGGGCCCTATCCGCAGGGTCAGCCCTCCGTCCTGAAACGCCGATCGAGGGCCAAGAGGACCCACTGAGGGCCCCCGGCTTGCCATCGCCCGGATGTCCGTTCCCCGTCCATTGTTCGGTTCCGTGCGTGCTGTTTCTGTTGCCAGGTGAACTAAGGTGCTCCTCGGCAGCAATTACCGACCAAGCCAGAGGCCGAAAACGGTGAGAAAAAATCTGCGCCCCGTCCGTCACCGCACACGTCCTGTCTGGAAGCCTGGATAGCATCAAGCCTCGAGGGTCTGGGGGGGGCGGAGAGAAGGACGACGAGGACGGAACAGGGGGGCCAAAAAGGCGGTGCCCAAGAGGGGGTACCGCAAGTCATGGCTGGAGGCATGTGCGCGGACGGCGGCGGGACCAGGGGACGCATTGAGAGAAGCCGAGGGGGCCCATGAATCCGCCGACCCTGTCGGCGTGCGTGGGGTGTCTGTCCGGTCCCGTCGACGGGGAGCCTTCTTTCGTCCCCTCCTCCCATCCTCCTCTCCCGTCGGGGGAGAGGGAGAGAGAGAGAGAGAGCACCCTTCCGCGTTCGGGGAACGGGGTCGCAGCTTGAGGGAATTCTATCCACGTCCGCGTCCTCCTTACGTCAAAGGAAAACCCCTTCCCTTTGTTCCTTCCCCGGCGGGAGGTGGCGGTCAGATTCGCATCGCCTCTGGGGGTCCTCCTCTCCCACGCCGGTCCTTCTCCGGCGTGCCGGTCCTCCTCGGACCCTCCTCCCCAGGTGGGGAGGAGTCCCAGGGGGGGGAGGGGAGTCAGATACGCATCCGTCCCTGGGGGTCCTCCTCCCCCTCCCCTCCCCTCTACCACGCCGGTCCTGCTCCGGTCCTCCTCCCCAGGGGAAGGGGTCCCAGGGGGGAATCCGTTTCCTCCTTCTTCTCCTACTCCTCAACCTCTTCCTCGTCCTCCTCCTCCTCCTCCTCGACCTCCTCCTCCTCGTCCTCCTCCTCCTCCTCCTCCTCATTCTCCTCCTCCTCCTCCCCCTCCTGGTCGTCGTCGATGTCTTTCAGGGTCGGCGGCACCAGCCGTCAGGCCTTCACAATACCGGGAGGTATCATGGCCCCCGCCATGAGATCCACCCCTCGTGGTCACCACCTCTCTCTCTAGAGGTCTCTTGGATCCTAGATTGTCTCAGAGTGGATGGGCTCGGAGGATCGCGCCGCATCGGCGATGCATCGGCGACGACGGCGGTGCATCGGCGACGCCAGCGCGGAGAATATCGGGCTCCACATCGAGCCGCATCGGCGACGCATCGGCGGTGGGTCGCGACCCTCCGACCCAACTACTCGGACCCCGTCTGGGAGGCCTCTGGAGAGAGAGAGAGAGAGGTGATGGCCAGGAGGGGTGAATCTCATGACCAGGAGGGCCGTGACATCTCCCCACATGTCATGGCCACCTCTCCTGCTCCTCCTCCTCCTTCTCCTCCTCGTCCAACTCCTTCTCCTCCTCTTCTTCCTCCTCCTCCTCGTCTTCCTTCGATGTGTCTCCTGGTCCCCCCCGCCGTCCGCGCACCATGATCTGCGATGCCCCTCCCCTTGGACACCGCCCTGTTTTGGACGATCCCGATCCGTCCACATGTGGGAGGATGCGGACTGATCCAGACCAAACTCTCGCTGACTAACGATGTCCGCGCACATGCCTCCGGCCATGATTTGCGATGCCCCCCCTTGGACACCGCACTCTTAGAGACCCCGATCCGTCCCAATGTGGGAGGGTGCAGATCCTCGGCTACACGCAAGAGTGGCCCTGGGTAAGAGTGAGCTTTAGTGCGTTGCTTTCTGGGGACCGCGGGGGTACCAAACACAAATGCGCAAGACGCCACTGTCACGTCGCGTTCGGCGATCGGGGGAGCCCAATGGGCCCGCACCAACGGTCACTCGGGCGAAGAGTCACCACTTACGTGCAGCCAAGAAGTATCCAGACAAAACTCCCGCTGATTAGCGATCGGATCTCTCTTGTCCCTGCACCTTGGACGCCCAAAATGGGCACGGAAAAAATGGGTGCAGTGCCCAACACCAAATGCTGTCACAGACCAACAGCGACTGCTGTTGGGCAGGCGGCCCCGTGCCCCCAATGGACAGCATCTGCGGCGACGCCGACAGCGAATCCTGTTCAGAATGAACAAGTACACGTCGGTCGGAAAAAAGTAGGTAAAAACATGAAGCAGGAAGGCGGATTAAGTTGATTGGGTCCAGGCCCCCCCAGGGAATCACAAAGCACAGCAAAAGCGTGTCGATTCTTGAAGTAGGAAGGCGCTTGAAGTAGATCGGGATCTGGGAATCCAGAAATACCTACTTTCAACGACCAGCGTGTAGTGATGTTGGACTTTGTACCCGTTGTTTCCCTACCCATTGCGATCGTCCCGATTGCCCTTGCACGGGCTTTCTCATGCGCACCCGCACACGGCCTCGGGAGAAGAAGATGCAGATCTTCCGCCCGTCTGGGCCCACCTCCTGCAGCTGGTTCCGCCGCTCTCCCTTCGGGGGGGGGGGCTCGTGATTCGGTGTGCTCGCGCTTTGGAGCACCTCCTCTTGCCATCTCTCGGACGTCCATGCCTCGTGCATTTGTATGTTTCGCGCGTGCTTTTTTCACCAGATGACCCAGCATGCTCCTCAATGGCCCTTGCCGAGAAAAAATGCACACGCCCAAGCGATGTCATTTTTTAAGTATTCGCGATGACGCCCTTGACCGGCCACCACCCCACCCCCCCTCCCCCCCTGGTCAGTCTTTACACCACATGATCACCGTCGCCGTGATCGTTGCCGACATGGGCATCAGAACCACGAGACCAGCCCTCGTCCGTGCGAACCCAAACCGCCACTTTCCAACTGGAGCCAACGTAATATCCGCGATATCGCCCACTACCGCCCAACCCCCGCGCACCCCTTCCCATGACGTCACGATTCGCTCCGGCGCCGACAAGGCATTAGCCCGGCCATTCCTATGCCTTCCCAAACGGCGCCGGCGAAAACCGTTACGTTATAGCCATCCCCGCCACCCCCTCGTAAACAAACAGTTTTTTTCATCGGCGGCGAGGCAGAGGCAGTCCGCACCAGCGTGGGGCTAATCGGGGCAATCGATAGCGAATCGTCAGACGTGCAAAAGGAAGGAACGAAGACGAGGGCGGCCACACCCCCTCGTAAGCAGGAACCGAAAAAAACGGCACCACAACCACCAGGGACCACCTGTGGGAGGACAGGGGGGGATCGCCCTCTGGCGGTGTGGTCCCCGCTCTCTCGAGAAAGACATCCCCAATCCCCAGCCCAGGCAGGCATCGTGGACCTCCTCGCTTGAGGTGGCCACCCCTGGTAGTGGTGGTGTCACTTCTCCTTCCCTCTGCCCCTCACCCCCCAATCGCGCCCGTTGTCGCCAGTGGAGACCTATGGGGAAACCAAGATGTACCGATACCGCTACTTACCGGACCTCTCCGAGGTGCATTCTGACCAGAATGTCGAAGCGAATCCAGCAGTGGCGACGAGGGCCTCCCAGGAGGTCCCACAGGGGGAAAACCATGGCGACAAACCTCTCGCCGTGATTTGTTCATGACCCGAGGGGGTCTGGCCCGTTCACGATGTTTCATGATTTTCTCATGACGCACCCCCCGGTCACGCCCATTGCCGCCAGTGGAGCTGCAGAAATGGCATCCCCCGAGTGCTCAAGGCACCCGAGGGCCCCCCTCGCGCCGCCGAAAGAGCAGCAGCCGCCCTCCGGGGCCCAGGCGGAAGCCGCGGCAAGGACACGGAGCCCGGCCCGGGGGAGGGGTCAATGCAGGGCGGGGATGCATCCATATCATCCGCCTGGGAACCCAGACCCCCTCGCGTCGTGCAAAAATCACGACGGGAGGTGTTTCGCCATCTTCGGCCTCTGGGGGCCCTTACCAGGCCTCGGGGGCGTCAACAATCAGCTCAGGATGAAAAACCAGTGCTCCGAAACCATTGAGCGTCGACGTTACGAACAAAAACATGACGTCGGGGGTCTGGGAACCGACATCCTGGTACCGTCGGGGCGTTGACCTAATGAACCCTAAATAAGGAACGAGGCCCCTTTTTCCCATCAGTTAAACTTCGATTTCCCAAACATAAGGAAGACATACGACAAACTGTGGAATAACTAAGGAACACAGAGCCCCTCCCGAACGCAAAGGGTTCCTTCTTTTGGGCCCCGACTGTACCCCGTCGGGCTGGGGATATGGATACAGCTTGCCCCCCAGGGCCTCGAATCTGTGCACATCCACTGCGCCTGTGGAGGTCCGCGAAAGCCAATGCCCCAGGCGGTGGCTATGGATTACAGTCGGGGCGTTAACCTAAGGAACCCTAAATAAGGAACGAGGCCCCTTTTTTCAGAAGTTAAACTTCGATTTCCGATCGGAAACATAAGGAAAACCTGAGGCAAGCTGTGAAACACTTAAGGAACGCGTAGCCCATCCCCAACCAAAAGGGTTCCTTCTTCAGGGCCCCGACTGTAACCCCCTGCGGCGAAGCCAAGACCCACAGGTCCGACCAGTAAATCGAGTAAGGGATCGACTACAGAATTGCTTTGCCCGAAAATCTTGATTTCCTCGCCAGATCTTCAAACAAGAACACCAAAAAAACGTAATGTTCGTAGATCTACTAACAGTGGACGTCTTTTTGGCATATTCCACGAACAAGTCGATTTGGGGGACAAGCAATGCCGTAGGCGATTCCCTGCTCGAGAGATGTCGCCGCGCCGTCTGCTCTCGACGCGCCCAAGTGGACGGACGGTCCCAGCGCCGCGGCAAAAACCCAGAGGAAACCGCGCGCCCCGCGCCCCAGGAGACTAGAGGCCTCCTAAATGGGGTCGGAGTAGATGAGGTCGACGGATCGCACCGCGTCGCCAATGCATCGGCGATGCGCTGGCGGTGCACCGGCGATGTCGGCGATGCATTGGCGCCGTCGGCGCGGCGAAAGTCGGGCTCCGCATCGAGCCGCATCGCCGATGCATCGGCGATGCGGCGCGATCCTTCGACCTGCTCTCCGACCCCACCTGAGAGGCCTAGAGACAAGAGAAGCGGGCGCCGCGGCAACCCCCACGGCGAGCCCACCGCGCTCGAGGGGCGACGGCGCCTGCCCTGGTGGCCGCGGCGCCCTCCCCAAGACGGCAAGCCGCGCGCGGCAGCCAGTGGCACGGCGACGCGTCTGGCTCTTCTCGGGCACGGTGCCCCCGAAGAGTCCCGACGCCTTGCCCGGGACCGGCCTCTCTGGTCCACGTTTTCTTTTTCGGCGTCTCGACACGGGGCGGGCGCGAGGGAGGGGGAGGGGGGGTCTGGCTCCCGACCTCTGCTTAATCAGCGCAACTGCTTGCGCCAGCGCGTCCCATGGGGGAGACCCCACCTGCCTGAAACAGACGACAAAAACAACCAAGATCTACTCCATGGGTAAGGGGCAACGATAGGGGGGATGGACATAAGGGGGGATGAATCGACCTGGAATCGGCGATACATCGCCGATAGATCGGCGATAGGCCTCCGATAGTAAATCCGCACCTTCCTGGGCAGGTCGGGGCTATCGGACCCTATCGGCGATCAATGGGCGATTGGGGGTCGATTCATCCCCCCCTATGCCTATCCCCCCCTATCGTTGCCCCTGAATGCGGTGGTGCGAGGGCCCTCGCCGATCGGCAAAACAAGGAAGAAGAAGACGATCGCCACTGCGCACAGAACTGCTTGGCGGTCCGGGGCCCTGCGAGGGCCTCCAGAGGTCGAGGACAGCGAAACAACACATCCGTCTGGGTTGTTCAAAGGGCGCATAAAGATTCTCATTCGCGGCCACACCGGGCGTCACAGAGGGGGTAGGGGGGGGAGGGAGGGGGGGCATGACGTAGCGCCCCCCCCCCCCAGACAGTGGCCAGATAGTGGCGCTGGACGCAATGCGGCAGTGCCGGGGACGCACCGAAGGGGGGAGCGCTACGTTACGGGGGCGGGGGGGGGGAAGGGGGAAGGGGTAGGGGGAAACCAAAAGGCACCGATATCGCGACTCCCCAGACCTCTCCCGGGGCGCGGCCTGACCAGGATTTCGAAGCGAATCCAGCGGTGGAGACGAGGGCCTCCCAGGAGGCCCAGAACAAGTGGGAAAAAGGCTAAAGGTAGCGGTCTGGGCACCTCTTCTCCCTCTATAAGGGTAGGGGGCATCACGCGCGTTATGACCCAGAGGGTTTAAAAAAAAATGCTCCAGACGTTGGATCTCTGGGGGGGGGCAGCTAGATGCGATCGCGTCATACCTGACGTCCTACCCCTCCCTCCTCTCTATTCGCACAATCGGCTGCCGAGCAGGGCGATGATCGCGAGAGGGCACGCGATGCATGGTAGAGCACTGCACGGCATGGCGTAGAAGAGCACGGCAGAGCGTAGCATGCCGTAGCATGGCGTGGCATTGCGCAGTGAAGCATTGCATCACAAAACATTGCAACGCAAAGCATGGCATCGCACAACGGCGCAGAACGCAATACCGCTCAGCATGATTTGGCATGTCGCCGGGTCCCTTGGAAGGTAAGTGGGTCGTCTTCGAGAGGTCTGCGCCGGTCTAGAGTCCTGGCTCCGTGTCTAGCTCCCTGGGCTCCCCCGAAAAAGCTCCACACAAGGCGTGGCTGATGAAGAGCACCCGCTGGCTCTGCTTCCAAACATCGCCTTCTCAAAGCAGAAACGGGGCTCCCGCTTGATACTTCCTGAAAACGACGACGCTCCAAAGTGGGGGGGGGCGCCTGCGGCTCACAAAATCCATGAATCGACACCGACTGTGTAATCATTTCCGATGGCTTCTTCGGCGGGCGCTGTCTAGATTCAGGGGCCTATCTGGAAGGACCGAAAACGCCCGCGCTGCAGCGGGAGCACGATTTGGAACAACGAGGGGCGCAGAAAGGGGACCAGCGCTTCGGCGGGAGCAACATTTTTCCACCCACACAAAAACACGAAAACCCATTTCCCAGAAATCCTTTGTAAAAAACAATACGCGGAAAGGGGCCGGATATCTTCCAGACGTCATCAGGGCAACAGTCATATTTATCTTGTGTGATGGTAGGGGATATCTGGAGGGGGTGGGAGAAGGGGTGGAGAAGGATAGGCGGCGTAACGCGCGCTATGGCCCAGAGTTTCGTACAATAATCGTAATAACCGGAATAATAATAATAAGAAGAATAATAACAATCGTAATAGTAATAAGAGGAAGAAGAAGAGGAAACATAACTATTATCCGCCAGCCCCCTTGTGGGGCCACCAGGCTGTAGGAGCGAGGTTCGCAGTTTCCTGTACCAGTTGTAGCTTGTAGTTTCCAGTGTTACAGTTCTGCTTCCTGCTGGTTACTGTAACTAATTGACTTATTGCTGGTTACTGTAACTAGTTGATTGACCGCGCGAGGGGGGGGGAGGCCCAAACCAGATTTTTAGCACCCCCTGGGCGTGTTGTCTGAATTGCTGGGGGGGCTCGAAAACGACACCCCCCACGCAGATCCGCGGGGTCAGGGTCCAAAAACACAGGGGATTTGCCACATTTCTGAAATTCGGTGCCACCCCTCACGCAGATCCGCGGGGTCAGGGTCCAAAACCACATGGGATTTGCCACATGTCTGAAATTCGGCGCCACCTCTCACGCAGATCCGCGGGGTCAGGGTCCAAAAACACAGGGGATTTGCCACATTTCTGAAATTCGGTGCCACCCCTCAGGCAGATCCGCGGGGTCAGGGTCCAAAAACACAAGGGATTTGCCACATTTCTGAAATTCGGTGCCACCCCTCACGCAGATCCGCGGGGTCAGGGTCCAAAAACACAAGGGATTTGCCACATTTCTGAAATTCGGTGCCACCCCTCACGCAGATCCGCGGGGTCAGGGTCCAAAAACACAAGGGATTTGCCACATTTCTGAAATTCGGTGCCACCCCTCACGCAGATCCGCGGGGTCAGGGTCCAAAAACACAGGGGATTTGCCACATTTCTGAAATTCGGTGCCACCCCTCACGCAGATCCGCGGGGTCAGGGTCCAAAAACACAGGGGATTTGCCACATTTCTGAAATTCGGTGCCACCCCTCACGCAGATCCGCGGGGTCAGGGTCCAAAAACACATGGGATTTGCCACATTTCTGAAATTCGGTGCCACCCCTCACGCACATCCATCGCAAGGCGTGGTAACTCAAACTGCGAGAACTCCCTCGGCCCTTTCAATCGCAAGGTGTGGTAACCAAGCCCGTAAACCATACACGTCTTACCAATCGCCAGGTGTGGTAACCCCTCTTGTGATCAGTTGGTTTTGCTGATTGCGAATCGGCTTCGCATGAAGTTTCGATACTGCTTCACGACAGCGCCAAGGCCTCATGACTTAGCTCTTCCATGGCCCATTCTCCGAGAGAGGGGGCCGGCGGCAGGGGGCGAACCCCTTACGGATAATAATACGAATAACTAATAGAGGCCCGAGACGTTGGATATCTGGGGACCTCCGCGGGCCCACGCTGCGGAAAAACAAAAAAAAAAACGCAGCGCCCGGGGCCCGCTGGTGATGCCCCTCCGCCGCCGACCGGGGCCCGCAGGACGGGGGCCGGCGCCCTGCTGCCGGCTGGCCCGGGAGAGGGCACGCCCTTCTCGGCGGCCGCGGCCTCGCGCGCAGCGACGAGGCAGAGCGAATGATGGGCCAATTTTCCACCACCACCACCACAGGTAGGATGGAGGGGAAGGGAGGATGGGTACGTCCTCTTCCTCCTCCTCCTCCTCCTCCTCCTCCTCCTCCTCCTCCTCCTCCTGCTTCTCCTCCTCCTGCTCCTCCTCCTCCTGCCTATGGTAGTGGTGGTGGAAAAGCGGCGGGGTAGGGTCGTCAGCACCTCACCCGAATTCGGTGAATGCGTCATGTACCCTGAGACTCCTCTTCGCAAAGGGCGAGAAAAGTCAGAGTCGAATTGGGAAAGCGGCATGCACTTGGGTGTCTTCGCAACAAGAGCAAGGAGTGAATCCTCGGCACCCCAGCACGAGCAGTTAGGGTTGAAGCGCTGGCGCGCTCGGAGTCAAGGTTGAAGCGCGGGTGCGCGCGCGGTTGGGTCCGCAGGCGACACCGCTTTGGATCCCACCCGTGCCCGCAGCAAACAGAGCATCAGGGCGTGGACGGCGTGGAGGTGACGCGCCGCCCAACGCTGGATCTCCCAAGCAAGGACATAGCACGAGGCCGTGAGAGCAGGAGCATCACCATCCGGGCGTGAGTGGCAGGGAGGTGCAACGCTGCCCCGCGCATAGCGGCATCAGGTCCTCTGCAGAGACGTGACTTTTTTTGTGCTCCCCCGATGAACGCCTAACTTGCCAGCTTCAGAAGTGCACTAATTACTCCCTGGGCTCACTTTCGTGAGTGCGGACATCGAGGCCCAGGAGAGCCCAGCTCAAGGAGGTCCTCCTTCCTTCCCGTCCCGGGAGGGAAGCCACGCTCGAAACAGACCCAGGGGAGGGAGGAGGCGCCGTACTGCAAACGTACTGCCGCGAAGACTTGTACGGCATTGTGTTGCAACGAACGTACTGCACGCGAAGACCCAGCAATACATCTGCGCACCGGAATGCATTGCACGCCCAAGCTCTCTTGCAACCCCACAAATCTATTGCACCCAATCTATTGCGCCACCCCCTTGTCGCTGGGCCCCCTCATGGGTGAACCCGAGTCCCGTCCTCAGTGAGAGGCCACGCTCGAAGCAGACCTGGGAGGGGGAGGAGGCGCCGAGGAAGGCCGACAGGGAGCGCAGAAGAGCGTGGGCGTAAGTCGGGCACGTCCCTCTACAGGGGGAACCTTGAGGAACAAAAAACGTATAGGGACGATGCTTCGAGTATTGCTGACTATCCCGTAGGAGAACACGCCCGACCTAAGCGTGGGCGGAGGGGCCCGCCGCGGGGAGGCGGGGACGCGGCGGCCCGGGGCGGAGCGCGCCGCGCGGCATGGCCACGCGGAGAGACCAGGGAGGCCCACGCACGTCGATCCCAGGCCCGGGAGCGGCCAGCAGAGCACCGGAGCAGAGGGCTCGACCACGAGAAACCTCCCAGAGCCCCAGGACGTCCGTTGACTTTTGGCGTGGGGGCGCAACGCTTCCCCTGGCAAGACCATCGACACCCGAGAAACCCAGGGCACCCTGGAGGCAAGCAGGGTGCTTCTTGGCACGGGTCCCCATTGTACTTGCATCGAGGGGCCCAGGGGGGCACACACATGAATAGACACACACGAGACACACACGAATTCCGGCGCGTTCCAGTTGTTGCCGTCCTCCCTGGATTGTCCCCTTCCCCCATCGCCCACGTCCGCAACTACGCCCACGGAAATCCGCAGAGTGCTCTGGGCTCGCGTCGATCTATCTATCTTTTTTTGACATCAACATCGCTGAACAAATGGCCACCTCAATCAGAGCTGTCCGAATCGGCAGCTCTGATCCCCTCCTCAGGAGACCAGGCGACCTCTGCTCGGGGGCGTGAACTCACACCCTCGAGCACAGCAGCGCTCGAGACAGAGGAGGAGGGGGCAGAGGTGAAGTCGATCTATCTGTCACTCCTGGCGGTGGTGCGATAATCGTGGTACGGTGTGCTGTGTGCGGTGGCGCCCTCCGACCTTGGCGTCTCCCTTGCCGCTGTCCTTGCGGTCCCGCTTGCCGCCGTCCTCCAAGGAGGCCACGGATCCAGGGTCCAGTCGGGCCTGCCCCTCTGCAGGAGGAATACTCAAAAATGGTACAAAATAGTCTGGGTACGATTTTCTGATTAATTGGTGGCATGGTTTAAGAATGTGTGGGCCATTTCTATTGTTAGTCGAAAATCCGCCTTTAGGAAGACATGCTCGACCTTAATCTAGGACCACGAACCGAGACGTGTCTGCCCTGTTTGTGCATCCCGAGGCTTACAGGGGGGGGGCGCAAAAGGTCAGCGACCGCGCCCCGGGGCACGAGCTGGAGTGACAACAGACCCCTCCGGCGCAGATGCATCGTAGCTCGACGCGTCCCAGGAGAGTGGGCAACACATGCCCCCATCGGGTCCGCAGACCACGCGGAGCCGCTCCGATCATGCACATGTCACACGATCTCCATCTTCCTCTCCAAACCCTGCACGTCTGCAAACCACAGCACGGCACAGACCACCCTGCTCCCGCTGTGTATGATACATGATTCATGCACATCTGCATGCATGTCGTCACTAAGGTCTCTGGCCCGGAAGAGTCTGTCAGCGGACAAACCATGCATCGACGTGCTGCCATCGTCTGGCTCGATTGTTCTACTTCACTTGATCGGAATCTCAGCTGTCCCGGTTCTCGCAGACGTACACGGCGACTGCAAAGCCGAAACCCACCGAATCGACAGCGAAGCCGATACCCACCGAAACTGACAGGCCGAATGCAACCACGGATGGCGCAGCTACAAAGCAGCCGGCCGACCGATGCGAACCAACCGAGCGCGGTCGCCTCCAAGGCAGCCGACCGAACTGGGTCATGGCCCCTGGCCACATGGCGACGCCCCGAACGAGGAGTGCGGTCGGACCTAGGTCAGAAGAACACCCTTCAAGAAGATGAGGCCCTCCGCCGGCCAAAACACCCCATAGCAGAAGATCACTCGAGGGTACCCTTCCCCAGGATGCATAAGAGCACCCAATAAGCACGAAGAAAATTTGGGTACCCTCCCCGAACCGACCTCGATCTTATACCTCGGGCCGACCGTACGCCATGGCGGAAGGGCCCCACCCTAAACGAAGAACATCAGGGCACCCTTCCCGAAAACTGCGCCTGCTCCTGACCATCGTGCTGGCTGCGCCTTGACCAGAGCCTCGACCGTCCCGCTTCACAACGCTTGAGGGGGAACGATATGCAGGACTGGCACAAGGCGGGAAACATCGAACCCTCATCGTGCCCTTGTCGGCGATCGATCGGCGATCGGGGGGGCCGATGCTGGAAGAACAAGAAGAGGCATGCAGACATAGATGCTCGGAGGTCCGCCTGAATTTCTTGGATCTGTGCTGGCCCCCCGCCCTTTCCGAGCGCGCGGAGCGCGCCAAGGGTGGCGCTGGAGGTGCCACCAGGGGATCCAGGCAGATACACGAATCCTGCGCGGAGCTATACAGGCTGATGTCTATGCTGAGATTTCTCCATTTCGAAATGCATGCCCCCCTGAGCAAAGCCCCCCTGACGCTTTTCGTGCCCTACCTCGGCCCTTCGGCGGCCATTCGGAACGATCGGGGCACTCCCCGAACGCTGTCGACCAGGCACTAAAAAGCACGCCGAGGATGTAAACCCGACGAGACGTCACGATCGAGTCCGGAAGCCTCATGCCTCGCACCCGAAACTTCCCCCATCCCCCCCTGACGCTAGGGCGAGAGTGATGTCATGGTAAGACTGGCTCAGGATACGTTCCAGGATTTCCACAATAATCTAGCGGCGCAACCGGTGCGGAGCATCAAGATTTCAGTATGTTGCTCCCATCGCACTTAAGGGCCACATCCCAGAAAAAAATTCGAGCACCCGGAAAAGTGTCGAAAGAGTGTCGAAACAGTGTCGGACGAGTGTCTCCCAGGGCCCGGCACGTGAAAACCCTCGAGCTTCTGTACTTCTTGGTGCTCGGAATTCTTTCTGGTCTCTCTCTCTCTCTCTTCTCCTTATCCTCCTCCTCCTCCTCCTCCTCCTCCTCCTCCTCCTCCTCCTCCTGCTCCTCCTCATCCTCCTCCAGCGCCTCGTCCTGCTGCTTCTTCTTCCCCTCAGTGCCTCCCTCCTCCCCCCCCCCTCGCCAGTGCGAGCTCGCGTGGACCGTCATGCCACCGTCCCACCACGCCTCTCCCTGCCCCTCTTGGTTAGACGCTGGCCCCCCGAACGATGGACCTGCTCTGCACCGGGAGGGGCGCCCCCGCCGGCGGCGGCCGCCGTCCTTGCGCTCTCCCTTGCCGCCCTCCCTGCGGTCCCACTTGCCGCCCTCCTTGCCGGGCCTGCCGCAGCAACCCCCCTCCCCCCCGGCGCGGGGCCGAAGCCCCCCTCCAAGCGAGGAGGGAGGGAGGGAGCGAGGGAGGGAGGGCGGTAGGACGGGGAGGGAGGGAGGGAGGGAGGACGGGGAGGGAGGGAGGGTGCGGGGAAGCGAGGTACTGCCCGCTCTACGCCTTTTCCTCCCTCCGCCGTCGTCTCCATATCCCCCCTCTTCCCCTTCCCCCCGGGGAGGGAGAGAGGCAAGGAGCAGGGGGAGGCAAGGAGCAGGGGGAGGGAGGAGGAGGAGGAGGGAGGAGGAGGAGGAGGAGGAGGAGGAGGAGGAGGAGGAGGAGGAGGAGGAGGAGGAGGAGGAGGAGGAGGGGAGGAGGGGGGAGGCGGGAGGAGGAGGGGAGGAGGAGGAGAGGAGGAGGAGGAGGGAGGAGGAGGAGGAGGAGGAGGAGGAGGAGGAGGAGGAGGAGAAGGAGGAGGAGGACGAGGAGGAGGAGGAGGAGGGATGTGGAATGGAGAAGGACGAGGAGGAGGGAGGGTCGAGCAGAATCGAGGGAAAGGAGGGGCACGGAGCCTTCATACCCAGTGTTCCTCCCACTGTCCTAATCCATCAGCCGCACGCGTCACTCCCCAGCCACAGCCTTCACAGCCTCATACCTCAGCCTTTCCTTCCTCATGCTCCTCGGTCTCCCTCCTCATCTTTTTCCTCCTCCTCCTCTTCCTCCTCGTCCCCCATCCGTCTCCTCATGAATGAATCCTCCCTGTCGCACCCCCAGACGTGTTGGTAGGGAAGGCCGGGAGTTTCGCCTGAGACTTCCTCACCACTTACGACCCTGATGCTCGAAAGTGGCGCCAGCTCCATGGATGGAGGGCGGGCCTTTTCCAGAATGTGGCTCTCGCCTTAGCGCCACGCGCATTGGCTCAAAACTGTGTAACGCCTTCCTGGGTGGAGACCGGGTCGTTTTCAAAATGTGGCTATCGCCTCAGCACCGCGCACAGTTGGTTCTAAAGATCGCAGCAGGTTCACGGATTCGTACGGTCGAACTCACAGGAATGGCGTTCTGGCGCGATCTAGTATTCTCAACAGTCACAGTGATTCGCTGTATTGAAGTCCCCGGAAAAGTCGTTTAGCACGACTTAGGACTGTCTGGACGCAACGGTCACGTTGACTCGCGGCGCTGAGGTCAGAGAAATTGCGTTTTGGGGAAATTCGGAATTCTTAAACGGTTGTCTTCCAGGGGACACTTCTCACAATGAAAACAAATCCTTGTCGAGACCTGTACAATAAATAGGGAATTTGGGGAGAGGGCCGATTGCAACATCGCTGGTGCGTCTTGGGGGTGTAAAATTGTCCTCCTCCTCCTCCTCCTCAGCATCACCATCATCATCAGAAGCAGCATCGGCATCACCATCATCATCATCATCATCATCATCATCATCATCATCATCATCATCATCATCATCATCATCATCATAATCATCATCATCATCATCAGCATCAGCATCATCATCATCAGCAGCATCGGCATCATCGGCAACAGCAGCAGCAGCAAAAGCAGCAGCAGCAGTATCCTTCTCCTATTGACCTAACCATCACCCCCCTAATCATTACAATCATCCTTCGTCGCTCCTCTCCCAAATCCTCACACTCCTCACAATGAGTGCCCCCTCTCTAATCATTATCCCCCTCTTGTTGCTATGGGTCTGAACAGTACGCGTATTGCTCAAGCTACCTCCTCTTCCTCCTGCTACTCCTCCCTCATCCAATTTCTCCGCCTCCTGCTTCTCCACATCCTCCTCATCATCCTCATCCTCTTCCTCCTCCTCCTCCTCCTCTCCCTCCTCCTCCTCTTCCTCCTCCTCCTCCTCCTCCCCTCTCATCCTCTCCCCCCATCCTGACCCTCCGCCTCCTCCGTTGGGGAGGGAAAGAGGCAAGGAGGGGACGGCAATGGCGAGGCAGGGCTGGGAAACATGCTCCTGGCACCAGGTGTTCCCAGGCAGCTCAGCAGTAGATGCAGAGAGGGACGACGGGGGAGGGAGGAAGGGAGGGAGGGGGCTCCTGGGAGGCCTTCGTCGCCACCGCTGCATTCGGCTCGACGACGACGACGACGACGACGACGACGACGACGACGACGACGACGACGACGACGACGGCGGGAGGCTCTGAGGGAAGAAATGAATGAGGGAGGGGATGAGGGAGGGATCGAGCGAGACAGATGGAAGGCGGGAGGGACGGGAGGGAGGGAAGCACGCAGGGGAGGAAAGGAGAGATGACCAACACGTGGCATGAAAAGCGCTCTCTCTCTCTCCAAATCCGCTACTACTGGCCCGCAGGGGCCGAAAACAAGTGTCCGAGAGGGCCCCAGGAAAACACCCGAGACGGCCGTCGACCCCCCCCACCCCCCGTGCACCAAGGGGCGAAGGGAGGGATGGGGGAGGAAGGGGGAAAGAGTTGCGGCTTCCAGGACGACGACGACGACGACGACGACGACGACGACGACGACGACGACGACGACGACAACAACATGACGACGACGAAGACGACGACGACGACGACGACGACGACGACGACGACGACGACGACGACGACGACGACGACGACGGCGCGGTGGAGAACGGGCCGAGTCCCAAGGCCGAGCGGTAGCCTCTAAAATCTCAACTGCATGGCCGCGCGGTGTTGTCACCGGACCTTCTGCGGATGCAGGAAGAGAAGGAGGAGGAGGAGGAGGAGGAGGAGGAGGAGGAGGAGGAAGAGGAGGAGGAGGAGGGGGAGGGGGAGGGGGAGGGGGAGGAGGAGGAGGAGGAGGAGGAGGATTGCTTTGCCCATGGATTCCCGTTTGTGGTTGCAGGAGATTTCAATGTGTCTCCGTCAGCGTTTGCAGTTGCTTCACCTTTGGCGCAGGTCAGTGCGGTGATTCGTGCACCAGCTGTGCCCACACATGTTGTGCATGGCTCGTCTTCCTTTCTTGATTATTTCATCATCAGCCGCATCTTGGATCACACTTCGGAGGATGCTACCACGGACCTCAGCGCCCCGCTCAGCCCCCACAGGCCTGTCACCTTCAAGATTAAGCAGGCCTGCCAGGACATCTTGGCTCGGGTCCCCAAGGCGTTCCAGAAGATCCCTGCTTCACCTGCGATGGGCCCCAGAGTTCCTCCCCCCGGGTATCGCGACCTCGAGGACAAGCTTAGGAATTTCTTGGAGCCACGACTCAATGATGAAGGGTCTGGGTGTATGATCTGGGGTAAGGACCGCGAAGCTGGCATCGCCCTTCTGGAAGAAGTATTTTAAGTCTGGAGGGAGCGGGCTTGGGAGGAGCTCAAGCAAATCACCCAAATCAAGGGCCCCAGAGGCCAACCTGGAGGCACCAAGATCGATTTCCACGAGGTCCCCGTACGGGCTCTGTTAGCCACCAAGCAGTAGACTAGCGCCTTCCCAGGTCGTGCGATTCAATGGTTTTCTTCGGTTAAAGGAGTTGAGAGCTCTGTTTGAGGACGAAAAGGACAGAGGCGGCGACCTTCTCCTACTCCTGCGACAATGGGCCATGCTTCCTGTTCGAGGAGGGCCCTTCAGGCGCTACTGGCGACAAGGTGGCGCTTTTTGGCGCCAATTTCTGTCCTCTGCTGCTGGCACGCATCTTGTCCCAGGTCCGTCTTCGGAACACATCAAAACCACTAATTGCTGCATCCCGCTCGTGGAAGCGTTTTTGAAAGTGGGGCAACTGGAAGATCGCAGTAAAGCGAGAGCCTCATGGCAGGATTGGTGTGAATCAGCAGTCAGCAACGGAGGTAGCCAGGCTTCTGGTTCCCTGCGATCAGGCGAACCACTCAGAGAAGAGGTCGCTGCGAGTGGGACCAGTTATTCAAGCGCTCTCCCTGCGCGGCTCGAGGCCGAGACCAGGCTTTGGAAGGAAGCTTAGGCAGCAGCTGAACCAGGCCACGTGCCCCCCCCCCCCCCCCCCCTAGACCTGCCTGCGGTGACTGTTCCTGTTTGAGGGCCCGTTCCACCTGGCATATCGGGTCACGGTTGAGCAAGTTCACGCGTTGCCCTGACGGTATTCACCCTCGACACTTCGGAATCCGAAGCCTGGAGTCTCTAGGAGTGGTTTCCTGGATGTACCATCTTATGGATGTGGTAGGACAGGCGACTTCCTCGATGCAGCAGCTGCTTGTTTTCATCATGGGGCGACCCGACAAAGGACGGATACCCATAGGCCACTACAGTGCTTTCGAGAGGCTCCACGGGAAGACCCACAGAGACCCTTGCAAGGGCTGGGAACAAGAGGTCGGTCTTGGGCCCGAGTACTCCATAGGGCAGGGCCGCAGTTGTCTAGACATAGTCTGGAGGCAAAGTGTCAAAGCTGAGCTGGCGCCAGGGACTACAATTCACGACGGGGCCATCCTTTGGGACCTCCTCCAGTCCTACGAGCACATAGGTCACCAGGAGCTGGTTAAGCAAGGGGTCGCGTGCTCTTTCCCCCTTCCACGTCTTATTGTACACGATTTCCACATACAGGTGGACCAGATACGTGCTACTTGATGGGGCAAATTCAAAAGGGATCACACCAACGCAAGGGATTGTCGCTGGAAGCACCCCAGTGACATACGAAGCAAAAGCGCGCATGCTGCCACCCGTCCAGATGTCCACTGGTATTTCGGAGACAGGGTCAGGCTTGCACATTGACGATATATCGTTTCATGCATGGCACGCGAGCGCGACGATGTGCGTGGCCAACCTCAAGGCTTTGGCAACGACCGTGGCCTACTTCATCTCCTCTACCCTCCGCGTGCCCTTGGCCGAGAAGAAAATGATGGCGGCGGCCAACTCCATGAGGCTCATGAAGGATATTCGAGAGGCTCTGAGAACACTAAGTGGGACTCAATCACATGCCCCTGGGAATCTCGGGGTTGCTTTCACCGCAGGGAAGCACCAGCGCGCCCCTCTGGCGAGGGCCATTCGCAGGAAAAGGGCCAGAAAGTTTCGCGATCGCGTCGGGCGCCTCGCGGTTCTCAAAAT